CCTTCATCGTGAACCACTGGCCAACACTAGTCAACACTGCTGATGAGCGTGCCACTATTTTGGGAGAAGTAAGTCGGAAGGCAAGATAAAATATAGAGCGATTTAATTTATGTCTGGACGTAACGATAAACCGTTGCTAACGAAAACCGATTGTGAGAAGAGTATTATTAGTCGTATTTATCGCCTTGTTATCGAGGTAATTGCCGGTTTTCGCCGTTTATTAAGAAAACTACAAACGGGGAATCGAAAAATTACTTACCGAACGCACCGAGTAGATCGAAAACACTACAAGAAAATGCCTAAAAAGTGTTCAACCGTAGCGAGATTTTCGGTAGAAAAGTCATTTATAAACATACACACACACACGCGCACACACACACACGCGCGTCATCGTCGTCGGGTTCGTTCAACCGGCGGCGGCGGCGTATTATCGTTCATCGTTAGAACAATGTCGTACCGGTCGAGTTTCGCGAGGAGAGAGGATAGATAGTTTTCATAATGTAGAATATTTTCGTTTCCGATTTCACCGGTTCGGTTATCGATTTCCGAAAACGCGCGCGGCGTCGTCGGCCAAAGTCCGATCGGTACGATGCATACTGTAACGCGTATATTATGTTACGGTTAGGTCAGGTTAGGCCGCCGTCAATAATGACGTATCGCGACAGTTAATGCGGCAACCGTACCTGCGCGCGTACGAAATCGTATACGAACCGTAGGCTTTGGAAAAAAAAAAAAAAACCGACAATAATATTATAATATACACACACGCGGGTATTTATTATATTTTCGCCCGTGCGGGCACCGCTCTGCGCCAGTGAAAGTGATCGGACATTCGGGTCACGTCCGCCGCGCCCGTCTCCCCGTGACATTGGCGAGTTGTGCGTCGCGGGTCATCGTACACGATCGATTGTAATCGCCGCCATCGTCGCAATAACATTATCGTTTATTGCCGATTTTACGACCCGCGTGCTCAGCGCACGGACCGGCCGCGCGGGAGCGCCCGAAACGGTTCCCGGTGAAATAAAATATGCGACGTTATCCGGATACTGGTCGAACATCGTCGGTCAACACTGTCCGCGTGGAAATAAAACGGTTAACGGAGACGGACGTGTTCCGCGCGACGGACGGGCCAACTGCTGTTGGCGAGAAGCACTGTCGGGAATAGATAACGAACATTTCGTCGAGACATGATACAGATAGTACGGTACGTTACATAGGAGACGCGCAGTCGTGACGTCAATAAGAGTCGCAACAAAAATGAACGGAATAGCATTAAAAGTACAACGTCTCGTGTTATCGCGAGTCTTTCCGTCCCATACAGACTCGCGGATGTTGCTAGCTGTCAGAAAATTGATAAGAAACTGCGTAGACACAATGTGTTCCGGTTGCCGAATGTTTCCTCTCGAAACATCATGCAACACCACATAATAATTTCGTATTACGACCCGCGTGCACTGTCGGCACATTTCTATTTCAACCGCCGAAATCATTTTTAACCGTCCCCCCCCCTTTTTTTTTCTCCCGTATTTATGCCCGGCGTGTTTTTTCAAAGACTAAAGGTTTTAAGTTTGAAATTTCCCCCCGGGACCTATATAGCAGTCGGTGTTGCCGGCAATACAATAACCGCTGCGGCTACGAATTTCCTAGTCGTTTTACCGACGACCGGGTAGGTATCGTAAAAAAATCCGTCCGGACATTGTTCCGTGCCGTCCGAGCACTTTTACTCTTGTCGGTCGTCGCCCGTCAAACCGCGCGGGTGCCGCCGACGGGTCTCGTCTCGCGGCCATTCGATAAACGGCGGCCACTTTCTATAATTTATACGGTTCGCATTTAAAATAATAAATAATCGTATTAAAAAGAGCGATCGGATAATACGATATTAGCTTTCGATGACGCCGGCACGCAGTGAAAGTGCGCGGCCGTGAAAAACGCAAGTGCTCCGACAACGGTTTCGGTTACAGGTACTCGTGTAAAATATTATGCGTTTACAGTTTGTGCGGGGCGATTACGTTAATCGATTTTCGCGATTCAGAACGTTTTTAAAAGTAATCATTTTTCCGCTCCGAGTTTCCGAGAAGCTGTATTCGTTTCGCTGTATGACGTCCGGTTTTACGCCCACGAAAAACACATTTTCCGGCGAGTGAAAATCAGTGGCGTGCCTACAGGAGGGGACGAAATATATTTTCACCGGCTTTTTAGAAAAAAAAAAAAATTCCTTTAAGTAGTAACGTTACAGCTGTATAACAATTGGACACGGGAACTGGGTTCTTTTATGCCGATTGTATAAAAGATATAAACGCGAGACGAGCACTTTTTTATTCGATTAAATATAATATTATGAGGCAAAATAAAGACGACGAGAGTGAATAGAAAAATGTTTGAAAATAATTATCAAAACACTAAAAACAAATAGATAACCTTTTATATCCAAGATCGTTGAAGAACAACGGTCTCCGATGAACGAGACTCCGCGAAACTGTTTTCGCCAGTGGCGTACCTGTGGGGGAGGGTTGAAAGGGGCGTTATGTTTAATATTATATGTGTGCATTGTCGTTCGTGTTTAGTCGTTTTACATTTATTTTCAATGAAGTACTCAATACTATGATAGCATACAGTCAAATCCATGGATATTAAAATATTTTTCGTTATCTATGGTGGAACCGGACCGACCGGTTCGACCGCCGTCTCTTGTCATTGGTTTCTAGTTACAAAATAAATGTGTCAGGAACGCTCGTGCGCGATTGTGCACTGTTGTCGCGTACCAGTGCAGGTTAGACTTTGTGTAATATTGTATAACACGCATTGTAATATTACATTCGATTAAATCAAAAAAAAAAAAAAAAAAAATGCTCGTTTTATGTATTAAAAAGGTTATATTTTACAAATATAAAACAGCCCGATTTCCGCGTACACGAAACAAACCGTCGTGGCTGACGCGTTACTCGTTTAGGACCGGGTACTGATGACTGAAAGGTTCCGGACGCCGCGGAATCCTCGGTGGAGGACGGGGGAATGGCCTGCCCAAGGTGCGAAACACGTCGTCCGGCGGTTTTTCTGACAAACATAACCCCGCGTGTTACGCGGTATCCCCGTTTGTCAATCGGACGAAACGCCCGATTTATTAATAAGCAAACACTATATGACATTAATGAACATGTCAAAATGTAAAACGGTAAAAAAAAAAAAAAACCGTTGCGGCTAAATGTCGATAACGCCGCGTGATTTTGATAACACGTTTCCGTCGTCTAGCGAACCGACTATTTTGCCGATCGGCATCGGGTAGCGATCTGATCGATCGTATACTCGACGGGAAATCCATCGGATTGATAATCTACAGCTAGCCAAGGAACACACGGAATAATAATATATTGGCCGCGTATACGCGTCACGTTTCATGTTTGTTGTACTCGCCGAATACAATCAACTAACATGATAATTATTACGACCGGTTGCTGTGCATAATTAATTACAATCCGATTCCAATCGCGAATTACTGCGCTCGTCTAATCGGGTACGCGGTTTTCGATTGTCGTTTCCAATAACGTTTTCACCGTCGGGACCCAGAGTTTGTCCAGATTTTCCGGACCGCCGTACCGCTGCATCATGCACACTGCATCAGCTCTGGCCACTGCAGTCGAAGAAACGACGGCGCGCACGGCGATGGACTATTCGGCCTTAGTAATGATTGTGCAGGGCTCGGGACCTATTGCGCTTGAAAACCACAAATAAACGTTTGAAAACGTCAACTAAGCTACTCGGAAAAAAGAGCGAAAACGATAGACGGGTTAAAATTCTCCCCTCTATAACTTTTTAAAAAGTCAATTTTCTAACGGTACACAATCAACTGTTTACTCGAAGGTATTAATTTTTTTTTTTTTAAAAAAATATACGTGACCATTTGATTTAAACAAAATTACTTTTCGATAAATGTTTGTGTCGTGTTAAGAAAATCGTGTTTAATAAGTTAGACAGGCGGTTTCTTAACCATTCTACCATTTGTTTGTATTTTTTCGTCTACTTTAAGCGCAATAGGTCTCGAGTCCTAGTAATAACACATAGCATACGCACGGGTTACCGTCAGATTTTAATTTACGTAAACGATGACGGTAAACTCGCGGGAGATTTTTTTCGATTTTTCGTACACGCTTCTCGAATCCCGATGTAAACAGGGCGAATTCGACAATTTCCCGTGTAATCTCGCAGAAAAAAAAATCGTAAATCGACCTCCTATCGACTCGGCCGGCGGCCATCGCGGTGACGAAATGCGATCGCGCGGTTTGCCCGCTCCACAGTGGAAACCGCTAACGGATTGCAAATCAGCGGGGCTAGGATTTTATAGCGTATGCAAGTTATTATACAGAATACAGAAAAAAAAGTAGCAGTGTGAACTTTAACATTTTTCAACTTTAAATTTTCACCGAATATGAGATTTTACATTGCTATTTTTTGCCAATATGCGCCATAATATAACGATATTTTATAAATAGTTGAAGACAATTCCGTCATTTATGTGAACCCATAAGAAAAACGATACATTTTTTTAAGTCGCCCGGCGTATTGGCCAATCGAACGGATCACGTTTATGACTTCTTATTTTATTTATTTACGTATTCAAAACATTTTTTTTTTTTTTTTTTTACATAAACGCATAATCTTTTTTTACCGTTTTTCATGTTTTCATTGCATATTATAGCGTTCGTTTTAATAGTAAATGAGTCGTATTATAATTGCGCGCATTTCAGTTATTTCCAGTGTTACATAAAATCCGTGCCCCGGTAATCCGGCACCGCGTACGCGTGTGAGCGTTTTGGGTGTTCAAATGACTGCCCGGAACGTATGGCTCGACCTAACGCGACCGGCCGTACGTTTCGAAAAAAATTCTATTTCTCGATGACTGCGAGAGCGAAAAAGGAAACCGCCGCGAGACATTATTCCGCGCGCGTCCCTCGGACCGCGTAATAGTCTAACAATGCGTGTGGAACGAACGTTTTTGTCCGCAGATGCACTTCGTGCGCAGCAATCCGATGCCGGTCGCCGATCATTTTCTCGCGCCGCTGGGACGGGACCGCGGCGGCGGCGGCCCCGGGACGACCGAAGCGTCCGCGGGCGCCGATCGGCCGGCGCTCGGCGAGGTGTGCGAGACTTGCCTGGCCTATTGCTCCGACAAAGCGGACCTGTGGCGGCACGCGCGCCGCGACCACGGCGCCGACCCGGCGCTCGCGTGCCGGGTGCCCGGCTGCGGCAAGCGGTTTTTCGCGGCGGCGATGAGCGCGGCCCACGCGGCCCATCACCGACTGCGCGCGGACGACGCGGTGCCCCTGACCTGCGAGCTGTGCGGCTGCCTCCGGCAAAACATCCCGACGTTCCGGAAGCACATGGTCACCGCGCACCCCGAAGCCGCGGGCGCGTTTTGCGGCGTGTGCGGTTCGTACGTGGCGGACGTGCCGTCGCTCGTCGACCACGTCCGTCGGCGTCACGGCGAGACGCCCGGGGCCCGGAACGTCATACGCTGCGACGTGTGCGGGCAACAGTACGGGAATTACCGAATCATGCACGAGCACCGGACGGTGCACGGACTCGTCGACACCGGACTCGTCCGCCGTTCCCCGAAGGGTCGCGCGAGCGTCCCGCGGCCGTACTGACCGGCCGGCCGCCGCGTTCCGGCGTCCGGACCGCGTCGTCGTGCGTTTTCTTTCACGCCCGCTTTGCCAACATTCCGTTATTGATTTATCGAATCGATTCGGCGACGCGATCAACTGACGAATCGTGTGTACACTTATACTGCAAAAACGAAACTTTTTTTTTTTTTTTTTTTAAGCATTTCGCCGTCATTTCGTTACGCAGTTTTATGTTTGCACGGACAAAATAAAAAGAAGGTTTCCGCGAACTTTCCCGTTTGACGTGTCTCGAGTAGAATTTCGAACGCGCGCGTGAAAAACAGTATTCGACTGCAGTATTGTCGGGATTCCGGACATTTCGCGAATATTTTAGGAATACGACGTGTTTAAAAAATAAAAAAAAATATATATATATGTAAGATAAGGTTAGGTCAATGTGGTTGATCGGGCCGGGCAGTTCGGTCAACTTGCGAAAACTAAAAATACCGTAAGATATATTTGAGGTAACAATTTTATGTTATTTGGAAATAATGATAACATCGCTCCCAGTTATCACACACTGAATAACGGAATTTAATAATATCGCATTGTTTGGAAATAATGACAATATCGCGGTAAATAATCGAATTTTTACGCACATCAATACGTTAATATTCTTTGAAATTTTTCCGTATTCCAACATTGATAAGACGAATTTCTGTATAAATTATTATTTTATTATACCGCGTAAATTTGATCCGATAGCGAATTTGTATTAAATTGTAAGTATACGCTACGTTTGAATTTTTCGCATTCGACATTTACGTAATTCAACAACGAAAAGAACATTCGTGATCGAGGCGGAATCGGCGTGTACATTTTTTTTTTTCAACCGGCACGGGAATCGGTGTGAAAAACGGTCGTCCGCGCGGAACTCGGACGCGGCCGGATTTCGTACAAATGTATCGGCCGCGGCGCGCCGGAGCCGCTGCAGGATTTCGGCGCTCTCGCGCGGTGCGATTTTTTATTTCGCTCATCTCATTTTAGCGCGCTCGTGTCTCCAGTCACGAGTCCGCGCGTGCGATCGCGACGGCCGCGAGCGATCGGGCACGCGAGACCCGCACCGCGACGCGAAATTCGGGACGGGGAAATAAAAAAACACCGGACACTGCGAAAAACCGAAAAGGCCGCGACGGTTTTCGAAAAGTAAAAAAAAAAAAAAAAACGTTTTTGGATTCCGGGCGGAGCGAACAGTGTGTCCAATAGTTTTACAATGGTGTTTTTTTTTTTTTTTTATTATTTTTCCGTTTATCTGCGAACGACTTTTCCGCTCGCAACGATTTCGCTCCGTTTTACAACGTTTTCCCGAAAGCAAATCTCGCTGGGGCGGTACTTTGGAGGAGTCGTTTTTCGAGTCTCTCGGCTGTTTTCGAAACGAACGGGAGTAACCGGGAAAAAATATGGAAAACCCCCTGGAAAAAAGAAAAAAAGGTAAGAAAAACGGGAAAACAGATAGTGCGATATCGAAAAAAATATACATCGCACGTGTGATAAATTTTACCGTGACGTGCCGTACGCACACGTGTTTATATATTGTTGACAAAACAACGCACCGCAAAACCGAACTCCGATCAGAATCGCTTTTCGTTAGCCGAATAGCTAATCGTCGCGCCGGCACATTAGATTTACCGTCTGCTTTGCCCGACTTCTTACGTACAACAGCAGGCCGCCCGTCGCGCGAAGTATGCCGGCAGGCGTGCGGGGGATGAAATCTGTCCGTTCCCGTCGACCCGCCGTCGAGATGTTCCGCTTTCGAGGGGGTCGGAATGGCGGCGCGGCGTTTAAACGGTACGAGTGCGGAGACGACGCAATCTGCGTAAAAACGGAACGTCCCGTCCGCGGGTCGACGGGAATCGGTCGGGTTCCGACGCCGACAATTATCCAAACCAACGCAACGCTCCGTTTGTTTAACGGGCGATTTCGGAACCCGAGCGGAACGCGGGACGTAACGGTATCGTGATGGCGTTTATTTTATTTTACCGAGAACGGCTTTTCTACCAGAAATATCGCTGCGATTTTCTATCGTAGTTGTCCTTTTTCCTGGGAGGAAACGTTATCGGGAAGGCACTTTGCGGGAACCGTTATCGATTTTCCCAGGGGATTTTCCCGTGATAAATGGGAAACGCCCGGAATCGAATGGGCGGCGAGCGGCAGCGGCGTATTTTAATTTTTCGCAGTGCGGATTCAGGATTCCTCCGTTATTTGCGAAACGTGTCGTAGCGCACACAATATAACAGCCCACTGGCAGGCACGACCGACGTTCGAAATCGTTTTTCGGTTAGCATCGGTTTATCATTGCGTTCGGACATCCATTAAATTCCCCCTCCGCGTCGCACCTTCCCAACTTCCCACGTACAACGTCGGCCCCGTCCGCCGTGCGAATTATGTCCGTCTTTTTGTCGCCGTTTTTTTTTTTTTTTTTTTTGACGGATAAACGTTTAGTATCAGAAGTGTAGCCTGTGCGTTTGGCGGAACACGATTGGGACCGGTTTCCCGTCGGTCAACAACACGTTAATTTGCCCCGGTTCGATTCGAATTCATTGCGACGAACGAACTGTTCACTATAACGACACCGTAACCGTTTACGCGCGTATCAATATGCGCACACGATAATCATAATCTATTGACGTCGTCGAAAAATAGTAGTAAACATAATAGATACTAGTGATACCGTGTCTGTTAAATATGGCCGCGGGATTACGGCCACGCAGTCGTCCGCGTTAAAACGTACACAACCGATTATCCGGATATCGTGTGACTGAAATCCTATAAACACAATGCCCGCGACATTTTCAATCATTTTACTGTTTTGAATAGTGTTATTGAATCGTCGATTAAACGATTATTGTTGCATCTGAATTGTTGCAATAGGTTACATTAAACGAGACCGGACTCGGCACGCTCCGAGTTCCAAATTAAAACCATCGGTGTCCAAACACTTTTTGGCGGAAAAGAGCTGTGTCGGCAACTGTCGATGTTATTACAGCGGGAACGGGGAACAGACACCGTAAATAAGCCAACTCCGACACGGCGTCGTCATTTTTTTATCAGTGTTTCAAGAACAACCGCTTGGAAATAATTCGAAAGGTGTACCCGGGGATCTGTTCGTTCCTCTGCAACCGGCCATAGATGGGACACCTGGCCGCGCGTGGCTAATTTTTGCTGTCGAAACTTCGACGGTATAAAATGAAAGTCGTCGCGAAACTCGATTCGAGCGCTGTTAAAACAAAAGCTGATGGTTTGATGGAAAACAAAATTTTTAAAAATCAATTAGCGTTCAATTTTCGTTGGCCGTTACTTTTTGGCCACAGACGGCACGGAATTCTCTATAGAGCCTAGAGCCTGGACGGCCTGTACTGTACGGCCTAGTGGCTCGGTAATTTGGTACATTGTATAGTTTAGGTACGACTCGTATTATTTAAAAACTCGGTATAAACTGTTTGTGTTTAGAATTTCGATAGACTGAAATTATTATAAGGTTTTGAAAAAACCACGCAGGAGTAAAAAAATAACCATATATTGTGTACCTATGGCCGTCAAATAAAATAAAATACAAAAACGTGGTATCACGAAGAAGCAGAAAAAAAAAACCGACTGGGCAGTCGGTATTGGAATGTATACAATTATTGAAAGTACATGGAAATTGAACAGCATTAACGGTAATAAAATATAACCGATTTATTGATTGACTTATCTTATTTATCATCTCTATCATAATTGAATTTACATTAAAGTGGACAGGCAACTGATCACCCGATTTCGTAATTCAATTAATTCGAAATAGGTGTTGTTTTTTTTTTTTTTTTTTAACAGAATTACATTAACGAAATGAGATCGATTTTAACAGAAACCATTACTCCGTAAATATTCTTACGTTCTTTTTTCGGGTATTCCTCACAATCGAGAAGAGTATCTACAAGGAGATTAGAAAAATGACTTTCCCGATCCACCGACTAGACAAAAAAACATTTTTACAAACATAAAAAAATACAATTTATCATAATTATCATAGTAAAAACTAACAAACTACGCTCAGTAGATGTGGACGTCTAATCTTCATCCTAACCATTTAGTAAAACCGTTTACTGTGAATTTTAACTCTTAAACTAATTTCATTTCTTAGTTGTATTATTACAACTAAAGTTGAACAAAATGGTGATTGAAATAATTTGTTAATATTATAAGTTAAAAATAATAATCAACTTTTTTTTTTATACACATAAGAAAATTACTATTGCAAATATTTTGTGTGTTTTTGTGGGTTCAAATTAACAATAAAATTGACCTTAGTGAGAAAAATTTGTTTGGCACATATTTTATTGGATGGCCTAAATACATTTCAATCATTCAGCCTGAATTTGGTTTCCACTTTGTCCCTGTGTTTAGCTGACATAATTAAAAAACGAACGGGCATACTTCGCACAACGGGTGGACCACCTTTGTTGGTGAGGAGTTGGAAAGGTAGAGGGGAAATTTAATGTGCATCTGTTCGTAACGACTAATCATTGGTAAAGAAAAACGTTTCTGAGCGTAGTTCGGTTGTACGTATTTTTAAAGGTTGTTAATGTTTACGGTTTGAAAATAATGCATTTCGTAAATTTCCCCGTTTTTCCTAGGTTTTTTCCCCGGTTTTTCCCAATTATTATGAAAACTATTTGAAAAATCAAAATACGACCTCCCAAAAGTACCAACAGGATAAAATTATCTTTCAGAAATGGCGCTGTACTTGTACATAAGAGCAGAATTTCCGGTAGTTACAAAAGATGATGTTCACAGTTAAAAAAAAAAAAAACTAACAGCATTTTACTACAGAATCAACGCATTCCTCGTTTCACTCAGAATCTAGAATTAGAATACTGGCTTTAACCGAACGTTTAGATGATTTTTAAGAAGACGGTCGATACATACCAAAAAACTTAATGGAAAAATAGGCGATACTATGAATACTGAAGTTAGAAAACGTGTATTTTCTAATAAAATACCAG